TTCGGTTCAAGCTTATAATAGTTTCCCCAACACGGTTTCAGATGCCACGGACAGATTTCTGATGCCATGGGTGGCTGTTTCCCCCTGATCCTGGTTCTGAGGTCCATCAGCAGGTTGTTCGTTTTCTCCACGACGGCCAACAAGCCCGCTGCCGACAGACCGCAGGCCGCACGTCCAGATGTCTCTGCGACACGGCTTCCCACGCCCGCGACACCAAGATCACATCGCTTCTTTCTTTCTTCCGTGGGCTTCAGACTCAAAACGTCCAGGAACACTGGCCTGCTTTGACTTGGGGACTTCCCACGTGGAGGTAATTAGTGGTGTGCATTGAACTAGTTAAGGTGAAATGGTCTCTGGAAATCATGCTGTTTTATTTACGAGAGAAATCGTCTGCTTAGTTAAGCTACACCTTGGAAAACCTTCGTTACAGAGGGTGGCACTTCTATTGATATGAGCATTCTGTCAACACTGGCACGTAACTCAGGACTGAGATGTCCATCGTAAGGAAAACATTCCCGATAGAAGGAAACAAGTTAACTCCCCAAGAAGATCTCGTGTGAACACGTTTGGGCCTTTCTGTGTCCTTTCATCAAAAGTCTTCAGTCAGGCCCTGGTTGCTTTGGCTCAGCAGTTAGAGCATTGGCCTGTGGACCAATGAGTCACAGGTTCAATTCCGGCCAAGGGCACGTACCTTGGTTGCGGTTTGTCCCTGGCCCTGGTCGGGCTGTGTGGGAGGCAACTAGTAAATGTTTCCCTCTCACATCAATGTTTCTCTCTCTCCCTTTCTCTCCCTCTCTCACCCTCCCACTCTATCTGAAGATAAATGGAAAAATGCCCTTGGGTGAGGATTAGGAAAAAAAGTCTTCAGCCAAAGCACATGGCAGGAGAATCCGCTAGTCATGGGTTCCCCAGGAAGTGACTGATTTCCGAAGAGAATCTCTTTGGGCTTCTGGCGATTACCTGAGTCCAGGCAACTCGGCTGCTGTGTCTGTTTTAGGTCTGTTTTCAATTATTAGCATTTGTCTAAACAGCTGTCCAGGTCTCATAAAAGACCTGTGTTTAGACAGGTAAGTGGCTTTGATTTTAAAGGAAAAAAAAAAAAGGACATTTGTTTTCTTTTCCCCAAATAAGTACAAATTGTGATAAAATAAGACTATAGACGTGAAAGTGATTTCAGAGTAAAAGTTGAATACCAACATTGTTTCAAGGATATGGGCTTCAATAATACAGCCTTTACTTATTTCTGACAGATACTAATTAAAAAACCCAGAAGTTATGGGTGAGATTTGATTCATCTTGCAAAAAGTTCCCAAGTGAAACAAGCTTCAAATCTGAAGATGGACCGAAACGGAGAACTACAAGGGATACGGCAAGTGTCAAGGTCACGATGCCAAACTGGCCCTGGTCTAGGAAAGTCCAAGAATAACAGACCCATTTTGATGTTGTCCCATGAAAAGTTTCAACCTACATTTAAGAGAAGACAAAAGGAGCCAATCCATTTCCATGTTTATTACAGAAGAAACTGACATAAGAGGTCTGATGTGCAGGCGGCTCAGAACCGGGGAGAAGACCCCGTTGGCTCCCTAACCCCCTCCGTGAACAAGCACAGGTCTTCTTGAGTTATATCTTAGGGTCACCCACCAACACCTAGTCCTACAAAAATATAAGCAAAAGGAACAGGCAAGGTTTTGTTTAATGAAATGCTGGTCCTCTTCTCTGATCTCTTCAGTTCAGTGCTGGTTTCAGACCCTGAGTTCACGGGCATGTTTGTCTCCACGGCAGCTACAGACCATGCTGTATCGTGAGACTTGTGCTTTTAAGGTCAGAAACTCCGGAGCTGAAAAGAGCAACCCTTCTGAGTTTGAACCATAGGCTGTCTCCGCAGAACAATAAACAAAGTTGAGAAGCCCACTTGCAACAGGATCTGAGCTGGTTGGTGACTGTGCACAGCTGACCGGGAGTCACCACCATTTTTGGGGGGATTTAATTTATGTTGGCTGCTTTGGCTTCCTCACTTTGTACATATTAGGTTTAGAGAATGCAAGGAATTTGCTAGCTGAGCAAGTTTATCCATTCTGTTTTCTGACCAGGCTCTTTTCCACTGAGGTATGTTTGTAAAAAATTCCCTCTGCAGACTTCGCTGCCAGAGCAGCGTGCAGTTCAATGGACAGTGTACACTTGAAACCAACCATCTCTGAAAATGCACTGTGCCCTGCGGGAAACAGAATCCAGCCGACTTTGAAACAGAGGTATCTAGACTCCCTACCAAAACTTATGGCAAAATGTATCCTTTGATATGCACACATGCACGAGAAGATGAGGCCAGTGGGATCAAGTAGAGGGTTTGCTGGCACCCACTCCATGCAACATGAGATACTGTCCCCACTTCCCGAGGAGGGAAACTGACCGTCACGGGAGTAAAATAAGTTGGCCAAGTTCGAATACTAAATGCCAGAGCAAGAATTTAAAACCAAGTCTCACAATACAAGGATGATTGTGTTACGCTTGTGTATTTCCTTTCATCCCAACAAGGTGACCAACTATATAACTCAATGTCACTAAAGTATAAATGATTATATTTAGATGAAAACCATTATGCGCTAAGAGATGGAATGACAGATTTAAGAAAAACACATAAATCAAGGTCCAAATTAAGGAGTGACATATCAAAATCACACAATAAATGTAATTTTCTGATTTGTAAACAAACCTTGGACACTGTATTTTAACATTTTTTGAAAAGTTAAATTTGTTAGCGATACCACATAGAAACTCTTGGTTTGTATTTAATTTCCTCATACGTATTTTTATCAGAAAAAAAGATAATATTAGATGTATCCTACGGAAATAAAGTACAAACTGAGTTAATCTTAGGTAAGAATGGACAAAAGTAAGGACTAAGTTAGGGGGTTCTTAACGTTAAGAATGGCCAAGACAAGAAGGGGAAAGTAAAGTAGAACTATGGTGCCATCTAGTGACAAAACGCCTGCTTTGCAAGAAAAGCACCTGAGGCAAGTCTATTTGGCAAATCAGTCTTAGCCTGAAGAATACTCATAAAATTGGCCAAAAGAAAAATGTCTGATGACAATGAACAATGGACAAAAAAGGGCAGATAAAGAGGAACAGTGGAATGGGAGGGATTTTTCTGTTAAGGTTCCATTAGAAGCTGGGGGTGAACCCAAATTCTACTCCTCAAAGATCTGTCATAGGTCCTGTTTCCCTTTCTGTACGTCCAAAAACGTTAGGTACCATTTAATGAATTAACAGTTCGACTTCAAAACAGAGATAATGTAAGTACCTATCCAGTAAGTGTGACTCGGACTCATTCTCCATCATAAAGCCCAGTGTGGAGTCTGAGCATCTTTCTTCTAGATTATCGCCTTGTCTTGTCTACATAGGTGGCAATAAATCTGGAATTCAACACTTTATTTTCAAATATCAAATACCCAGATAGATTACTATTACAAAAGTATTACTTTCAGAGGCAAAGGTAATAGAATCAAAATAGAAAATTTCTTTTGAATCTCAAGATTTATATTTTGTTCAAGAACTTTTTCAGGCTCTTGGTCAGGAAAAAAATGTTTAATAATTGCATAATCCTATGGTTGAAACAGTTACCTAGGCAAAAAGGAAACACAGTTCAATTCAGTAATTACATAGAACGATGTGTCAGTACATGTGAAGCAAGCACCGACTTCCACTGTGCTGACCCAGTGTTCAGTTACGCTCCTCTTCGGCCCAGCGGGGCTGCCACACTGCCAGCGGCGGGTTCGGCCAGCCCTTCGTTCTCAGAAGGGAGAACAGTTAAGCCTACTTGTGTACCTAGTACCATCCCTTAGAAATTCCAAAAACTTTAAATATGTATACATTTGACATCACGAATCCTGAGTTAATCGTTTTTTCAAATCCCCATAATTCCATCTGAACTTCAATAATGAGCTATCTCGTTACAGGTAAGAACTCCCAGAATACTCTGTAGAAATCAACATGCACAGTGGGGAAAAACCCAGGGGTGAGTAAAAAACCTCAAATAAGCATTATCAGCTATGTGACCTTGAGAAGTTTTTTACCTTCTCTGAACCTCGAATTCTTCATCTGTAGTATGGGGATAAAAACTTAACTTTAAGCCCTGGCCGGTTTGGCTCAGCGGTTAGAGCATCGGCCTGCGGTCCGGAGAGACCCGGGTTCAATTCCCGCTAAGGGGCATGTACCTTGGTTGCAGTTTGTCCCCAGCACTGGTTGGTCGTGCGGGTGGCAGCCACTCGATGTGTCCCTTTCACGTCGATGTTTCTCTCTCTCTCTCTCTTCCTCTCTCTTCCTCCTACTCTATCTGTGCAAAAGATGGAAAAATGTCCTCGGGTGAGGATAAAAAAAAATAAATAAAAAAACCCAAAAAACTTAACTTTAAGGATTACCATTAAGTGTTAATGGTTTTGCTCAGTGGTTAGAGTGTCGGCCCGCAGGCCAGAGAGTTCTGGGTTCGGTTTCTGCTAAGGGCGCGTACTTCAGTTGCATTTTGTTCCCACCCCGGTTGGGGTTATGTGGGTGGCAACCACTTGATGTGTCTCTCTCACATCGATGTTTCTCTCTCTCTGTCTTCCTCCCTCTCCCCCTCCTGCTCTATCTGAAGATAAATGCAAAAATATCCTTGGGTGAGGATTAAAAAAAAGTACAAATGAAGTGTTTAACATAATAAGCACTGGATAGTGGTAGTCATTTATAATTGAAAGTGATAGATGGTATGCCTTTTAAAACAGTAACTCTTAGAAGTGGATGTTTATGTGGCTAGGACTGGTCCTAGGTCAAAGTATAAACTAGGCTAAGGGCGTCTTTCAGATTTCGTAACTGCTTTCAGCACTTCCCCCAAAAGCCTTATGTAAAACTGCCCCAGAAAAACCGACAAAAGAATAAGAGAAAACATTTGAGTTTACAGAGAATGAATTGAAAAAATATATCATCAAGAAGCAAACACTTCATAAAGCTTTTAAAGACAGGTTTATTTATATATAAGTGCATGAAATAGAATACAGAAACTTTATTAAAATACTGTATATTACAAATTTTAATCCAATAAATTCTGTGTTATGACATTTAAGTGCTGGATTCACTTTTAACAGTTGTTTTGTGTGTATCAGTAGAATCACCCTGTATGTTACAAAGAGGAGAAACACATGGACCTTAGAAATGGTCCTGTGATTAGACTGTGGATGATATTAATTGTGCATCTTTTTGTTAAGCTATGAATTGGAATCTAGATCTTGTCGTTGCAGACCAACTCTCCGCAATCAAAAATAACTTGCATATGTTTATTGCTGACCTTTGAAGAAAATGAGTGGTAAAAATAACTGAAAACAAAGATCAACATCTCTAAGGCTAACCCGATGCTTACCACAGTTAAAATAATTAAAATTCACTGCAAAATTTGTGTTCTCCAGGAAATGATGCTTATATACACAATGAGATTTGTACATGAATTGGGAAATTAAAAAATTGCTTATATAAAATTAAAAATCAATAGTATACAATATTTACAGCTTGTTAAGTATTATACATAAACATCGTTTTGTAAAATAATCCTTCAAAATTAAACTGTGTTATGTAAACATGCAGTACACATACTCATACAGTGTAGTTTATAGTCTTAACAGAAGGGGGAGAATTGTGTTCACATAACGTAGGGAACTTCATCAGATAGGCCTTTGTCTTTGTGCGTTACCCTCCAACATGGATTCTTCCTGTCTTTAAGCTTCACAGTACATTAAGTATTTTGATAGCAAAAATAAATCCCTGATGGTAAACATATTTCTAAAGGTTACATAAAGTGTCCGCCCTTGTACTACATATAAAACTAACACTGTTTATACTAGAATCTCTAGTGTACAACTAAATTAAATGTCAAAATCCCACTTTTAATAGTCTTGACTACATTTTCCCCATTTCAAACTTAGAGAGACAAATACCACATTGTAAAAATGTAATGACAGTAGTTGTCATCTGTCACAGTCAATAGCAAAATAACTGGTTTTCATTAACCCTTAAGGAGCTGATTCGGTTGCACTGTTCTTAACTCTGAATGCCCATCAACAGGGGTACCGATCCTGAATCTCACCAGACACACTCTGAAAAAGTATCTTAACTTCCAAGGCACTGAGGCATCATTTAGCTTTTAAAAACTACTGTGGTTTACTAAATGATTCATCAGTGATCTGAGAGTTAACACAGCTTGAAAGTGAGTCTTTTTATACCTATCAGGTCAACTACATATTTGCTCTTTAAATAAACACATTTTAGTTGGTTAACTTCTAGATGAAATGGATTCCCTCATCCTAGAATGACTACAGTCAGGAATTAATACTTTATGGTAGAATTATATGAATTTTACCAAATGATGTGACTAAAACGAAAATACTGTGGAATTTCATGTTGTTCATCTCAATGTGCGGAGCTCACGCACGCATGTATGTAGGGCACCAGAATTTAAAAAAATTCCTCCATCCTAAATGTATCCAATATCACAACTAAGAAAGTGTCAACAATTAGACTATCAAGTCATCCATTATTGAAAGCAAATCATTTTTATTACTATTCAAACGAGTGCCTCTATTTTGCTTTCTACGAAGAAAATGTTAAAATGTTTCTTCCCAAAGGTACGTAGTGATGCTGTGCAAACACACCAGTCTAAAACAAAGGAAACTTTTCATCATCAGTAATACTATCAAGTTAACAGTCATTATACAGGGCCCTAAAAATGATGCTTTTTAGAAATTGCCAATATATAGCATCTAGGAGAAAAGGTGTTACTCTTGTGGTAATCACGCATTACAGTTCCTCTTTCTATGTATTTACATTACACTGCTTTCCAGCGCCAGTTACATATCTGAATGCATGCCCAGGGGCAGTCGTGTTACCCATGAGGGGAGAAGCATATGGGTGCGGAATAGAATCTAAAAAAATACGTAAGAGGTTCATGCTCTCTTGACTTGCCTATAGTATCTATTTTTCAGTAAGCTTCTAGTTGCATAACCATAAGGTGTTAAGTGCATTCTCTTCAAAACCAACACTCTGATTCTATCAACAAACTGTACAGATGTTTAAACCATAACATATGACGCCTGTGTGGAAGGGGAGGAAAATTTTTAAGAAACTGCTAAATTCATTCTCAAAATCAAGAAAGGGTTATCCTAAATAACCTCAAAATAAGTGCAAAGAATGTAAAAACAAGCCCCCTAAACTCAGGGGAAGAGATGGTTCCAGGTCGCAGTTCAGTTCACTGGAGACTCGGGTGTTTCCACTAACTTAATCAAGTGTCAAATGGTACATCTCCACATTTACTGAAAATACTTTATATATGAAGCACTACTTCCTTCAAACAAATTCACAGATACATTTTTAGGTAATTGATTCAGCAACCTCCTCAAAAACATCGCCCTGTGCACACTGACCAGACACCCTTGCGTCGGGAAACCTGCCCGCCACCAGCAAGCCAGGCAACGCTGTGTGGTGAGCTGCCCACGAGGAAGGAAACACAGCTGGGACCACGCAGCATGTGCTCCCCCAGGGCCGGGTGTGGTCTTGACACAAGGGGCCACCGCTCCGCTCGCGGGACGCAGCGTCAGAGGCGCCTTGGTTTTGCGCATCACCGTCCGATGTATCTTCCTGTCTTTAAACGCCCCTCTGCTACAAAATGCTACCACGTGCTTGAAATTGTCATCATTTTTAACCAAATAATGTCCTTTTTATCATCACGGAGAGTCTCTCCCTAAGATGTTGTAAAGGATTGCCAGTTAAGGGAGATTAGGGGTGTTTGATTAGTAGTCAACTTTAACCACTCAGATTCTCACCGATTATTAAAAGAAACAGCAATTTACTCAGTTACCCAAGAGCTGCCAAACGTCTCTGCAACCTAGGTCTACGAGAATTTCTTCAGTAACTTTCCACACTTTTCACATCTTAAAAACAAATAACAACTCTTTGAAAAGATTCCGATTAAGATTTTCTTAGAGAAAAAAGTGTAAGAGCAAAAGTAAAGTAGTTTGAGAAAATACTCTTACCGTCTTACTTCTTGAATTATAAAATGGACACAAATTTAAAATAACAGTATTTCTTTTTAAGTAAAAACAAAACAAAAAACACACAAGCCAGCGAAGAGTAACCAGCGCCGAAGCACCTTGGTCCACGGAACAAGGGACCTGGTAGACACTGAAGCCCAGTCTGTGGCCTTCGGAATTCGTGCTACACCAGGGGCCAATCCCCAGGGTGCAGAACAGGGGACACTTCTCCATCCCTTACAAAAGACAGTAAGTTGCATGTAGTAGAGATTCAATGAGTGTTGGTTGAATGAATCCAAGGGAAGTAGCAGGATAAGATAAAGAGGTAAATACTGGCCACTTCTGGCCATTTCTACCACCATCAACTCCTAAAAATGCTCTTATATAAGTATGCTGATTTTAAGAACGTATATGCATGTACACATAACCCATGGCCATGGACAATAGTACTGTGACGGCCTGGGGGTGGGAGCAAGTGGAGGGGGTCAATGGAGGAAAAAAGGGGGACATCTGTAATACTTTCAACAATAAAGATAAATTAAAAAAATAAATAACAGTATATAATAACCTTGAGTTCCTCTCTCATAAAAAAATTTAAAAGTAAAATAAAGAGGTAGAGAGGAGGTAAAGGAAGCAAGATTGTAAGAGAATTATTTTAATGTCTCCTTCTTAAAATGTATGTAGGGGAAATGTGGAAATAAAAGAAAACAGATGAGTTTTACAAAACGACACATTTAGTTAGCACTGCAAAATGTAATTTAAAAAACTGTACTGACTATGGATCGTGTACAGTGAAACATGGCTGCTTTGCCTTTCATAACAGGAAGTCCACACGTGACAGGGCCTCTGGCATAGAGTCCAGTATCTCTTCACTGGGTCACAGCAATGGTATCTCAGTTACCGAAACTCCGTTTGGTGGATAAACTGGGGAAATCAGAATTTGGTGGTGGTGGTGGGGCTCTGGGGGGGATGGGGAGGACTTGAACTCTCAGCCAGAATTAGGAAGCAAAATTTAGGATTTAAAACCATCTTGCTAGCTCTTGGTGGACTCGAGGGCAGGAACCCTATCCTAGTCATCCTGGTCCTTCCTACAGAAAAGACAGCACAGCACTGTGTACATGGCAGACCCACCAAAAATGTTTTAAGAGTGAATTCGTTGCTGTGTGCCAAGTGGGGCATGTCAACACATCAGCGCCATTCTCCCTTAATTACAGATCTCTGAAGACCTTTTCCAACAATGTCTTTTGATTTTTAAATTACTCCTATTCCTTATATCACAGATGCATGATATACAGGGCAGCTCATTTTTTATTTCTCACTTAAAGTACAAATAAAGCCCTTACACTGTTCAGGACAGAGGATATACTAAATACTGCAAATACTAAGACAGCACATTGGGTAACAAACCCCAACACTGTGGGTAAACACTGAGATCTACAGGAAGAATGATTAAGCAGCAAGCACTGAGTAGAGCCATCATTCAGGACTGTCCTTATTCTGGAGAACCAGTGGAATCATCCAATGGACAGATTATCTGCACCTCCTCCTTTTAAATGTTTTTAGCATTATTTGTAGTTTAGATAAGGCTCCTCACTAACCTCTGGTCTATGGGCATTTCTAACCAGTATGTTAATTATTAGTGCGGGCATATAGGAGTCTCTTCTTTGGGGGAATGATTTCACTGTCAGCAATATTTTACTATACATTTTTTTAAAAAATAAAGAAGTGTAAACTGCAGAGGATTTCCCCTGTCCTTCCCGCATTGATCACAAAGAAAATTTACTGCTAAATCACATACACCTTTTAAGGTGTAACACAAATATATCGATAAGGGCTTTTGTCATATCAAAAACAAGGGTCTCCAGCACTATTAAACCAAGAAAAATCTCCTCAAATTAAAAAATCTCAAACATCCTCACGCCCATTTAAAAGATCATTCAACTAAACAAATTCTCCACTAGAACATGGACATGTTCACTGAACAGAAGCCTTCCAGTTAGACAGCATTCACACATAGCAGCTTCAAATACACGTATATAACGATATATATGTGTGTGTAGATATATATCATCCAACGTTTCTTGTCTCTGTAGGAAAACCATTAACTTTTAAAAAAATCTCAGCATAGAAATAGCTATTAAGACAATTTCATCAATTCACACTATTCAACTGTATTTCAAAACATCAAAAGAGTCACAGTTGCACAAAATCCCAGTGGAAATGGCTGAAAACAGCAAAAAACACAAAATGCCCCCATGAGTTAAAGTACATACACACACACACACACATACACAATTCATAACATAAAGCAACTTGATAATAAGATTAGGATGCTGCAAATTAATTGTTAACTGCCCAATTATACTTCCATTCTAGAGTAAAAACTGGAGTTTACATCTCTTTGGTCCACACATTCATACATTTATCTGTCCAAGTTATTTTCTAGTTAATTTTGGGTTCTGAACCATATGCTCCATATTTCTTTACTATGATGACTTTCCTAAAGCATAACATAACCATGTTAAAATATTCATTTGTACATCTTCAGTATGTTATTGGTAATTCCTCTCAAAGAATACAAACACTTTAAATGATTGACAGAATAGCCAAAGTAAAGAAAGAACACTGAATTCAAATCTAACAGAAAAGGAGAAAATAAACTGATTTGGAAAACGTATGCCTAAATTTAATTTGGAAAACATCAAAAATATAAAGAACACATGAAAATAATGTCAGGGTTATACATAATTTAAAATCCATTTTAAGATTTACTTAAAAGATCTCTAAGAATGCATAGCTGCTGTTTTTTTTTTTTTTAAATCAAATTTCCAAGCCACAAACATTAGTAAATCCCCCATATTGGCCAAATTGGCTTCTCTACCGGTAAAAGTACCAACCCCACCCCCACCAACTCCTCATTGTTCAGTTGCTGATCTTTCTGGTTTTGGTGAGGAAAAGGGGCGTGGGTCACAAAGGTCTTCAATTTGATGGGACCTAAGAAACCTACTTGTTCCCCACGGAGGTTATGAAAGAGCGAGGCTGGAGCATGCAGACTGTCTTTCTGGGTTGTCCTGAACTTCACATTCTCTGCAATGGCTCTTCTTTTGAGTAGGAACATTTATAATTGTACCAGGGACTAAAAAATGTCAGTAGGAGGTAAGTTCAACCAGGTTCTGTTTCCCTTACTCCCTGTACTCTTAAAAACAAGTATATGTTGCCAAAACCTCTTAAAATAGTTTATACTAAGGACTTTTTAATTTCTAATATATGTCATCACATTCTAATAAACTTAAGTAACAGCATAAACCAAGAAGTGAACAACTAAAATGCATCACTCAAATATATTTCAGTACTGTTTGGATACACTGGGATGAACTGCCAGATTTTAGAATTATTTACTACATTCCCCAATTCTTATTTAGTGAAATTTTGTTACCACATATCCAAAGTAATTTATTACTGTCCCTAGATAACTTACTGTTACTTATCTACAAATGAAGCTTTCTGTTTTCACAGCCTAATTTAGGCCACTCTTTAAATATAGTTAATACTCCAGAATGAAAGATTGTTTACATTTTGTCAAAAATCAAGACATATACAAGAAATAATGCTATCCCACCGAGTTACTAGTTATAAAGATGTTTTCTCCATGAGATACATGGCAAAAACTTCCTTTAGAAGGGTCAAAGAATGCAACATGCATTTCAGATGTGTTTTCTAACAAAATTCATAAGAAAGTCTTCGAATTATATTTTTATGACACACAAACTATAATCAATGTGTGCTACCCATAACATTTTTTAATTCATATCAATAGGACATTAATGTATGAGGGAAACTATTAAAAGTGTTATTTAAGTGAGTGAAAAGGATGCACCCTATGGATCTACTTAGAGTCCTTAAAATAGTTTAGCTAGTTTTCCATTAAGTATTGTTTTCCACATAAATTAAATAACAATAATGCCTAAACATAGTAAAGCCCTAAATCCCAGAAACGTTCAACATTAAAAATCAAACAGTTTATCTCATAGTAAGAGGTTTGGTGTTCAGCACTCATACAGGGCTCAGCGTTACAAAACAAACTCTCACCGCGTGACCTGGATTCATGTTGAACATGTTCACAGCACTCATCTCATCTACATCTACACTTGCAAATTGTCACATGATCAATTTATAAAAAAAAAAGAAGAAGAAGAAGAGAGTTTGGCACATATATCAATTCTTCAAAATGTCCCTGTAACTTAAACACAACACTGTTAAAAACGATTCAACACCAAGGTTAACCTGATTGGCAGCTAAACAAGGTGCTTTTTCTTGTAGCTTCTCATAGTGTAATTCGCCTTGCCTGGGATGGAGGCACGTAAGGTGCAGTGCGGTAGTGCAATCACTTGAACACTAGAGGGCAATCTTTCCACACAGCTCAAGGCCTGATGTTCTGACCTGCTCCTTCCACGATTCTTGTGTAATTTCATTCCTACTTGCTAACAATGCCATTTTCAGAGAATCTGTACATCTGTTTCCTTATGTGAAGTAAGACATTTCCACAGAAACCTCAAAGTGTGGCGAGGATCCTTGAAAAGGAGATGATCAATGTCAGCACAGTCTGTCCAACGCCCCACACCAGCGCTTCCAAAGGGGCCATGTTCTTCCCGGCTACTCTGTAAATGCCTGCCACGGCCGCACCTGGGTGAGAGGGGCGACAAACACAACAGTTCATGCATTTTACAGCGCGCAGCATGGCTTTCACCCAGGGTCTCTTTTCATGTCAAAACAGGGCCTGTCCTTGATTATTATGATTTGATACATTTTCTATGTAATTTCCATGTGACTGGTAAAAATTACACTTCACTATCCTCCCACATTTACCTACTTAACTGAAAAATAGGCTTTTCTAGTCAACCACAAAATACATATTGATGTTACATGTTGCTTGACACCAAATATGTTCATAAAAGAGAAACAATTCATTATTGTACATAATCTCACCTAGACAATCAACTGGCCATAATTCATTAGCATTTTATAAACACACAACAGAATACAATGATCATTATAAATGATATTACAAAAAAACTACACAATTTAATGTCACTTCTAAATGATTCCAGAAAATTTTGTTAACCATTTTATTTCTTTTAGTAAATGAATTAATTCTTAAATGTCATATAAAATATCAGAATATTTGACAATTTCATTTCAGAATTTATCATATAAAATTGTCTGTTGCCCTGGCCGGTTTGGCTCAGCGGTTAGAGCGTCGGCCTGCGGTCCTGAGAGACCCGGGTTCGGTTCCCGCTAAGGGCATGTACTTCGGTTGCAGTATGTCCCCGGCCCTGGTTGGTCGTGCGGGTGGCAGCCACTCGATGTGTCCCTTTCACGTCGATGTTTCTCTCTCTCTCTGTCTCTCCATACCACTCTATCTGTACAAAAAAAATTGGAAAAATGTCCTCGGGTGAGGATAAAAAAATAAAAAAATAAAAAAAAATAAAAAATTGTCTGTTAAACTTTTTAAACAGCATACAACCATAAGGTTATTTGGAGACCACTATGGTGACATCTAATAAAAATGCAAGATGAACCTGATGTCTGTTCTAAAATATGTTTAGATGATGTGCACTTCCAAGAACGGGAGCCGGTCACAAGGAGCCGCGGAGCCCGTCCTATTCGACACTTCACCTCCTTGACACAGCACACAGCGCGTCGTGGTATCTAAGCGGCTGATTTCAAAAGCACATTCGGAAACCATAACGGAAGAAACATTTACATTACAGCATACCATCTCCCGGATTGAGATGGCCTCAAAACTGCTTTTCTAGAAAAAACTGTCTACATATCCTAGAATGGTCAAACATATAAAAATAAGAACAGAGATAAACTTTTTGAAAACATTGAATTTACAATTACTTGACAGAGAAATTTATTCATAACATTTAACTAAAAATGAATTCTATAGTTCACTTAAAATCTCCCAAATAAAAATTATTGTATTCCTCTATAAGAGATATAAAGAAGAAAATAAAATGTATAGTGTATTTGCTGCATACTATGTATCTTGATAGGAACTTTACAAATACTACCTTATCCAAATATCATACCATCCCTGAGCATTATTACCTAATTTAAAGATGATAAAAAGGAAGGTGAGAGAGTTCAATCACTAGCCCAAGGAAATATAGTATGTACAAGAGATGGAATTCCAATGCAGGTTAGTCTGGCCATAAATTCTCCAATTATATAGCATTTCATATTTACATTAAGTAAAAAAGAATACAAGGAATTCAGAAAATAATAAAGTAACTCGATAATCATCTCAATATTAAATAAAACTCCTAGTGGAACCAACATTTACTCAATCAAGAGATAAGCTTCATTTATATAATTGGTCATGTCCTAGAATTTCAGAGTTGGGTCCATTCTTAAAATTGTTAAAGATCCCATGCCTTCTCTGTTATCAGATATTATGCGAAAATAAATTCAAGAAAATACTCTGTTTCCTATTTGGATTTACCCTAGATTTCCATGACTATATTCAATTTTTAAAACCACAATTTGGTCTCTATATCTCCAGCACTAAGGTTTCAAAAATGATCCAAGAAGTAGAAAATCTAAGCAATGACTAGCTCAGCTGCCTGGGAAATGGCAAACAGCCTGTCAATTCAAACATCTCAGGCTTAGATAAGTTAAGAGCATGGGTTCTGGAGCTAGACTCATGGATTAAAATGCACTATTCAGCAGCTGTGTAATACTAGGTAATCACTTAATCTCTCTGTACATCACTTCCTCAACTGTAAAATAAATGGGTGGGTGTGAAGATTAAGAGAATACTTGGAGCCCTGGCCAGGTTTGCTCAGAGGTTAGAGCATCGGCCAGAAGGGTCATGGGTTCAATTCCTGGTCAAGGGCACATACCTGATTCAATCCCTGGCCCCAGTCAGGGTCATGCAGGAGGCAACCAATCAATGTGTCTTTTTCACATCGATGTGTCTTTCCTTCCCTCCCTCCCTTCCTTCCACTCTATCTAGAAAATCAATGGAAAAATATCCTTAGGTAAGGATTGAAAAACACACAAACAAAAAAAAGAGATAATACTTGGAAAATATTTAAAATGGTGTCTGGTCCTAGTATATACTCCAAATTTTGGTTAGTAGTCACTGTAATAGTAAATGATAAAGGTATTTCCAACCAGAGATTCACCATTCAATAAATGGCATTAGAACCATTGGTAGTCATTTGGAAGAAGTAAATTTAGGTCCCTACTTCATACCATTCCCCAAAAATAAACTGCAGATAGATTAAAGAACTAAATGTTACCCAATCAGGCACATGCCCGGGTTGCAGGCTCGATCCCCAATGTGGGTCATTCAGGAGGCAGCTGATCAATGTTTCTCTCATACTGATGTTTCTATCTCTCTCTCTCTAAAAAAATCAATAAAAACATATTTAAAAAAAAATAATTGTTTTAATATAAGATACACCAGAAAAATACTTGCTAAATATGTAATAAACTTATTATTAGTCCAGATTATACACATACTCACATACACACATAAATACACATATAATAATCAATGCGGCATTTTTTGTAATAGCAAAAAAAAAGCAAAATCTTAATGTCCATCAGTCAGTAATTGCTAAATCATACTAAGTCCATACTATGAGACCAGTGTAATTTCAAAAGAAAAATACAGATCTATAGGAACTGACAAAGAGAAAACTTAAATCATTTACACAACAAAGAAAACAATAAATATTCTCTACTATAGTACGTACATACATACTTAAGTATATGTATGTAAGTACACATGTACATGTATATATGTATGTATGAATGTAATGTAGAAACAAAAATCTGGGGGACACATAACCAAACTGAAAAATAGGATTACATTTGAAAAGAGCACTGGTTTAGGAGTAGTAGTCAAAAGAGACACCTGCCTCATCCATAATGTTTTAAGTTTAACATGGAGAAAAGTTATATACCTTATACAGACAAGTCCCTCTTATGTACAGTGTCACATTCTGTGGTTTCAGTTACCTGCAGTCAACCGCAGTATGAAAATATTAAGTGAAAAATTCCAGCAATAAACAACTCAGAGGTTGTAAAATTGCATGCTCTCTGAGCAGTGTGCGGAGATCTGGAGCCCGGCGCCTGGGACCGGACCGTCCCCTTGTCCGGCGTCTTTACCCTGCAGACGCTCTCCACACATCGGTCACTTAGCAGCCTTCTCGGTCATCAGGCCCACTGTCATGGCATCATGATGCTTGTGTCCAAGTCACCCTTATTGTACTTAATTATGACTCAAAAGCACAAGAGGAGTGAGGTTGTCCATTAGGTATGCCAAAGAGAAGATGTAACCTGCTTCCTTTAAGTGAAAGGTTTGTATTTATAAAGAAAAAAAACATACTGTATTTTGGGTTGGTACTAGCCTCAGTTTCAGGCACCCACTGGGGTTCTTGGAAAGCAGCCCCCATGGATAAGGGGTGAACTAAAGTATCATGTAATTAAAATTAATTTTAAAAATCTAACTTAATTTCCACACCAACTTGCCTAAACTTCCCTACAATGACAAGAAGCTGTCATTTTAAAGGCCAGAATATCTTTCAAGCCTATTTTCCAAACAAAAATACTTGGATACAGTGGCAAAGTACACTAAACTCTTGATTTAGAACAGCAGAGAGTAAGTATACTTAAATCCAGGTAGCAAATGCTTGTGGAAAAAGAAAAGTTGTGTTAAAAGTCAAATGTTTTCTATGCGACTAAAAGTCAGGTATTTATTATTTTTATTCCTTTGAAGTTTCTAGATTGGGGCTTAAATGCCTTTGGCTCAAGATGGAGGACCCACAAAATCAGTTTTGGGACATCTTCAATATGGGCTCAGAGTTTAACTGGAGGTCAGCAGCATGGAAAAGTACCCTAGGCAATGTGAGAAGGAACAGGAGTGAGGACCGAAAACACTTCTACCTCACCGTTATCTTCTTTTCCAAATAAGCTGACTCCTTTAATATACAGCTGTTCTGGCACCTGGGATTTCACTTTGGATTTCACTTTGGAAGGCCCTACTGTTTGAGGAAAACCAAACTAATAAAATTACTAAATCTTCCATTCTTTTTTTTTTAATCCTCACCCGAGGACATTTTTTTGTTTTTGTTCAGATAGAGTGGGAGGGAGAGAGAGAGAGAAACATCGACGTGAAGGGACACATCGAGTGGCTGCCACCTGCACGACCGACCAGGGCTGGGGACAAACTGCAACTGAGGTATGTGCCCTTAGCAGGAACCGAACCCGGGTCTCTCTGGACCACAGGCCGACACTCTAACCGCTGAGCAAAACCGGCCAGGGCCACTTTTCTTTGTAATCTTTCAAGGAACAGAGGACAAGAACAAAGAGCCTTTAATAATGAGAGAAAAGGGAATTTTTTTTTTTCTTTATTGATTTTAAAGGGAGAGGAAGAGAGAGAGAAACATTGATGAGAGAGAACACTGACTGGCCGCCACCTGCATGCCCTCCAGTGGGGATTTGGCCCATAACCTGGGCATGTGCCCTGACCGGGAATCGAACTGGTGACCTCTTGGTGCATGGGGTAATGCTCAACCACTAAGCAACACAGAAATTTTTTTATAAGAAGAAAAATCACTGAAACTCCAGAGTTTCCACAACCAAGGAAGACAGTTAATAGTGTTAAA